TTTCTATTAAGTTGTCCATTTCTTCTAGGTTATCCAGTTTCTTACCATATAATTTTTCATAGTATTCTCTCATAATTGTTTGTATTTCTGTGGTGTCCATAGTGATTTTTCCCTTCTCATTTCTGATTCTGTTTATATGTGTAGACTCTTTTTTCTTCATAAATCTGGCAAGGGTTTTATCTATTTTATTTTCTCAAAGAGCCAGCTGTGCTTTCATTGATTCGTTCTATTGTTTTTATTCTTCTCAATTTTATTTCTGCTTTAATCTTTATTATGTCCCTCCTTCTACTGACTTTGGGCCTCATTTGTTCTTCCTTTCCTAGTTTTATTAATTGTGAATTTAGACTCTTCATTTGGGATTGTTCTTTCCTGAGGTAGGCCTGTATTGCAATATACTTCCCTCTGAGCACGGCCTTTGCTGCATCCCACAGACTTTACGGTGTTGAATTATTGTCATTTGTTTCCATATATTGCTTGATCTGTTTTTTTATTTGGTCATTGATCCATTGATTATTTAGGAGCATGTTATTAAGCCTCCAAGTGTTTGTGGGCTTTTTTGTTTTATTTGTGTAATTTATTTCTAGTTTTGTACCTTTGTGATCTGAGAAGCTAGTTGGTACAATTTCAATCTTTCTGAATTTACTGAGATTCTTTTCGTGGCCTAGTATATGATCTATTCTTGAAAATGTTCCATGTGCACTTGAGAAGAATGTGTGTCCTATTCCTTTTGGATGGAGTATTCTGTAGATGTCTGTTAGGTCCATCTGTTCTAATACGTTGTTCAGTGCCTGTCTTTACTTATTTTCTGTCTGGTTGATCTGTCCTTTGGAGTGAGCGGTGTGTTGAAGTCTCCTAAAATGAATGCACTGCATTGTATTTCCCCCTTGAATTCTCTTAGTATTTGTTTCACATATGCTGGTGCTCCTGTGTTGGGTGCATAGATATTTATAATAGTTATATCCTCTTGTTGGACTGCTCCCTTTATCATTATGAAATGTCCTTGTCTCTTTTGACTTTCTTTGTTTTGAAGTCTATTTTGTCTGATACAAGTATTGCACCTCCTGCTCTTTTCTCCCTATTAGTTGCATGAAATATCTTTTTCCATTCCTTTACTCTCAGTCTGTGTATGTCTTTGGGTTTTAAGTGCCTTGTAGGCAGCATATAGATGGGTTTTTTAATCCACTCAGTGACTCTATGTCTTTTGATTGGTGTATTCAGACTATTTACATTTAGGGTGATTACTGATAGGTATGTACTTATTGCCATTGCAGGCTTTAGATTCATGGTTATTAGAGGTTCAAGGTAATTCCCTTACTATCTAACAGTCTAATTTAACTAACTTCTTATGCTACTACAAACACAACCTAAAGGGTATTTTTTTCCTTTTTCTTCCTCCTTCATTATTTTCATGTTATGAACCTGTACTCTTTGTCCCTTGGGTGACATCCATTTAGCCTTAGGAATACTTCCATCTATAGGAGTCCCTCCAACGTACACTGTAGAGGTGGTTTGTGGGAGGTAAATTCTCTCAGCGTTTGCTTATCTGAAAATTGTTTAATCTCTCCTTCAAATTTAAATAACCTTGCCGGGTAGAGTATTCTTGGCTCGAGGCCCTTCTACTTCATTGCATTAAATATATCTTGCTACTCCCTTCTGGCCTGTAAGGTTTCTGTTGAGAAATCTGATGGTAGCCTGATGGGTTTTCCTTTGTATGTGATCTTTTTTCTCTCTCCAGCTGCTTTTAGAAGTCTGTCTTTATCCCTGATCTTTGCTATTTTTATTACTGTGTCTTGATGTTGTCTTCCTTGGGTCCCTTGATGATGTGTTGGGATATCTGTGCACCTACATGGCTTGAGAGACTATCTCCTTCCCCAGACTGTGGAAGTTTTCAGCAATTACCTCCTTAAAGACACTTTCTATCCCTTTTTCTCTCTTCTTCTTCTGGTGTCCCTACAATGTGGATATTGTTCCATTTTGATTGGGCACACAGTTCTCTCAATATTCTTTCATTCTTAGAGATTCTTTTTACTCTCTGTGCCTCGGCTTCTTTGTATTCCTCTTCTCTAATTTCTATTCCATTTACCGTCTCTTCTACTACATCTAATCTGCTTTTAAATCCCTCCATTGTATGTTTCATTTCAGACATGGAATTTCTTAATGATTGAATCTCCATCTTAAATTAGTTCCTGAGTTCTTGAATATTTTTCTGTACCTCCATAAGCGTGTTTATGATTTTTATTTTGAACTGTCAGGAAGATTGGTGAGTTTACTTTCATGTGGTCCCTTTTCTGGGGTTTGTGAGATTTTGGTCTGAACCAGGTTCTTTTGATGTATTTCTATGAGGTGCCCTCTAGTGCCCCAAAGCTCCAGTTTCTGGGGCTGCTCGGCCTCTAGAGGGAGCTTGGGGGTCGCAGAGGAGCAGAGCTGGTGCCTGTGGGGAGGAAAGAGCTGTTTCCTGATTCCCGTCTGCGGTGCCTGTCTCCAGTGTCAGAGCCAAGCACACAGGTGGAAGCCTCTGTGCTTTATGTCTCTGGCTTTTTGTAGGCGGGGCCTCCCTCTGGCTGACCTGACGCCAGCGCAGTGACTGCCGGTTTGTGAGATGGTGCTGGCAGGCCAGGAGGAAGGCTCGGCAGGCTGCATGTCACAGTGGGGGATCTCGGAGCTGAGTAGCCAGCCAGGGGGATGGAACACCTGAAGCTCCTCAAAGTTCCCAACCTGCTGGGCAGAGTGCACCCAGACAACCTTGTCCACCCATCCCTTCTCCCGCGCAGCAAGCTCTATTTAAACCCCGCCCCTTCAGCAGCCCTCTCGCTGCTAGGAAGCCTCGCATACTGCCTGCCTTTCCTTTGTCCCAGAGCGGCCAGAAGTGGATCCCCGTCCTCCACAAATGGCCGGAATCTGAGTCTCTCAAGCACTCCACCTGTCCCAGCTCCTCAATCCTACCAACCTCCAGAGCACCACACAGTGTAGGTTTCTGCTCACAAAGCAGACCTCCAGGGCTGGGTGTTCAGCAGTCCCAGGATTCCACCCCTTCCCCACTCCGCTTCTCTTCCACTGGTGAGCTTGTGGGGGTGGGTGGGGGGGAAGGTCTTGGGTCCTGCCGGATCAAGGCTTTGGTATGGTATCATTTTGTGAGGTCTGCTCTGTTCATGAGGTCTGTATGTAGTCTGGTTCAGCCTTCTTTCCTGTTGATGTTTCAGGGTTTGTTGTATTAACTATATTTTTGTATTATTTGTGGTTTTGGAAGGAGTTCTCTGTCTCACCTCTCATGCTGCCATCTTGAATCTCCCATTTTTCTCTTAACTTGCTATTATTTTCTTCCATTTACTTGAATTTAATTTGCTGTTATTCTGGTTTCATAAGAATGTTTCACTTTCTACTTGTCTAATATATATACATTTAAGGTGTTAAGTATGCCTTTAGTCACATCCAATAGGTTTTGATATCCCTTTTTATTTTCATTCAGTGCAAAACAATCTCTCCTTTCCATTGGGTTACTGGGAGGAACATTTAACTCTCAAATTTTTAAATTTGTTAGCAATTTTTAGTTTACTTCTGCTGTAGAGAGTTCAACTATAATTAACATAATTGTGTATTTAATACTTTATATAATTATACAATTTAATTCTGCTGTAATATATGTAATTATACAATTTAATTCTCCTGAATTCAACTCTGAAATTTGCTACTGGTTTAGGACTAAACATATAGCCACTTTGATAAATGCTCCATATTCACCTAGAAACAGTACATAGGTCTGTTAGATTAATTTTGTTAGTTTCATTTCAAACTTCTGTGTCCTTACTAATTTTTTATTGGAGTGGGAAACAAGTATGTCTGCTGCTGTTACTTAGATATTATGTAAGATTTTCTAGATGGACTTACACTTTTGGTCAAGATGGAGAAACTGACACTTTACCCTCCTGCATAAAGCAACTAAAAAAACTAGACAAAACATTTAAAACAATGTCACTTAACCAGGCATCAGGCATTTAAAGACAAGGACCATAATTCTTGAGAGCCCAAGAAAGCAGTGGTAAGCATCCAATCACCCAGTGCACTGCCTGGTGGACATTTCCAGGCCATGAGGTGGTGTGGTGAACCCCACCGTCCAGCAGTGCTCCAGAGCCAGAGACAGACGTGGGAGGCCCAGGGGCTGGAGTCCAGTCTCTCACAGCTTCCAGAGAACAGGGAAAGAGGAACAACTTTCTCTTCATGAATACCAAAACCTAACAAAGGTAATTTACAAGAAGGGAAATTGCAGATCATGTCTCTCTTGAATATAGATCTAAAAATCCTAAACAAACAATTATAAAATAAGGCTAGAGACATATAAAAATAACTTATGACCAAAGAGAGTTAATTCTACCAAAGCTTAAGGTGAAGTGGGGGACAAGGAGTGGATGGGGGGAGCTAACCCCGGAAATCCGTCAACTAATTCACCACACTAACAGATAAAAGAAAAATAATTCTATCATCTCAATAGATTCAAGAAAAGTAGCTGACAAAACTCAACACTATAAATCCATTTAGCAAACGATAAATACAGGGAACATCCTTAAACTCAGGAAGTTTATCTGCACAAATCCTATAGCTGTCATCATGCTTATTAATGGTGAATCCGCAAAGCCCTCCCTGGGATCAGGGACAAAGGAATCCCCCCTGACCAGTCCTATTCAACACTGCACTGGCATTCGGACCAGGCCAACGAGGCAAGAAATGAAATGCAAAGACTGGAAATACATCAAAGTCATTACAAATAGATGATATGAGTACAGCTGACTCTTGAACAACGCAGGGGCTGCGGAGGAGAACTTCTGGCACAGCCGAAAATCTGCATTAGCTTGGACTCCCCCAAAACCTAACAGCCTACTGTTGAGTAGAAGCCTTACCAAAAACATAGCCAGTTAACACAGTTTGTAGGGTACCTATATTCTATACTGTAGTCTTACAATAAAGTGAGCTAGAAAATGTTTTTTCAATTGTCACAAATCTCCAAAAAATTTTCCACAATGTTTATTGAAAAAAATCTGCATTATAAGTGGACCTGCTCAGTTCAGATCCATGTTGCTCAAGGGTCACCTGTACACAGAAAAATCCAAAAGAACATACAAACTATTGAATTAATAAATGAATCTAGCAAAGTTACTGGATACAATGTCATCATAAAACAACTGTTTCAACATTCTAGCAACAAATAACAAAAGACCTAAAAACATAATTCATAAAATAGTTCCAAATGGCCAAAAAGTCTTTGAAAAGATGTTTTAGTATTAGTCATTATAGAAATCAAAATTGAAGCAACAGCAAGACACCAGTACATCATAACCAGAATGTCTGGAATGAGAAAAATGAAAACCACCAGTAAGTCTGGCCAGCATGAAGGAGCACCCCACCTGGGAGTCTTTGGGAATGTGGCAGCCGGCCGGCCAGGCTGCTCTGGAGGCGGCGTCTGGGACGGCCAGTCCCTCTGCGTATCATGCGCTTCTCGGGGAGTGGGGTGGGGATTCCTAAAGTACATTTACAGACCACCGCAGCCTTTAACTACAGATTCTGAGTCCCCAACATGAGACAAATACGGTGGTGTGAATTACTTTCCCTAGGGCTGCTCTGACAGATTACCAAAACTGACCAAAACCAAGACGGCTTCAAACAGGAGGCCAGAAGCCCATGGAGGCGTCACCAGGGCAGCGCTGTCTCTCCCAGTCCTGGGGCTGTCAGTGCTCTTTCCAAGGCTTCCCCTCTCTGCGGTCTCCAGCTGCCTTCTCCTCCACCTGTTAACCTCCTTGGTAAGGACACTAGTGATGGCTTTAGGGTCCACCCAGAGAATCCAAAGTAACAGCCTCTCTCACAATGCTTAACTTAATTTCATTTGCAAAGACCCCTTTCTCAAATACAGGAACATTTACAGATTTCAAGGATTATGACTCCATATTTCAGGTAGCCATTATTCAACAAGTGTAGTAACACTTGTGTTTAATATTTTCTAAAAAAGCAATCAACTAGTGACACTGATGAGACATGGTCAAGAGAAGGAATGGCCTGGGAAAAAACTGCTGTGTGTGCTGCGAAGGGGTAAACTGGGAGGAGGTAGAAGCCTTACCTACCACGGGAGGTGTACTTCCTAGGGGAGTAGGCAATTACATGCTTTGGTAGACCTGGCTAGCTGCCTATATCCCACATCCATTCTTTCTTCTGCTCTGAAAAGAATCCCAACTTTTATTTGGGGCCATCATTACTCAGCTGTGCAAGTTTATTTCCTAGGTTTCCTTGCAGCTTCTGGTCATATGACATAGGGCTGACTAGTGGGATATAAGTGGAGCTTCTGGAAAAGCTGCTACCTGGCTAATAAAATGGGCCACACCTTTGGGCTTCCCCCTCAAGCTCTTCCTTTGTGAAACACTGCCTCCAGGTATAAACGTGAGGGCCCCAAGTCCCTGACAACACTGTGGTGTCACTGGACAGTGACATGGTATCAGCCCTGACAGTCAGCCTGGAGACTTTCCTGTTGTGAGAGAAAAACAGGCACCTTGGGGAGTAATCCACTGTTATTTGGTTTGTAATCAAATACATTTAAAAAAACTGAACAACAGCTAGGTGTTTTACAGACACTATAAAGTCTGCAATGGTTGGGCCATTCCAATTACTCTGGAAACTTAAAAAATGAAGTCCTTCATGCCAATGTAGGTCACAGAGTGGCCCCTGAGTGACTGGGTGTAATTATTTTATCTGCTTCCATGCATTTGCAATAAAATGCAGAGGTAGTTCATGTAGATTTTTTATTGATTCCACCAATGAATTAGGAGGTATAATAATAATAAATGGTACTTTTACATTCTCTTAACCAAAAATATAACAAGTATTTGTACTCAGTAAAAATACAAAAAAGCATACAGAGGCACTGTCTTTCTGAAAGACGTAAGTTGAAGAGGTATCAAAAAGTAGGAGACAGACATTGCTCGGCACAGGCTGCCTTACCATCGCTGGACCGTGCAGTGTGACTGTTGTTTATCACAACTGTGCAGTTTTTTTCTGTCTTTTGCTCACAAGCTCACGTTTCAACTTTAAACACCAAATACAACTGCATTGTGTGTACCAAAACTCAAAGAAGCCTTAAAAAAGCATAGAAAAAACTAAAGTTGAGCTGGGGTTCAAGTTTAAATCTGAAAATGTACTGTAACACATTCCTGAAAGTTTATCCCTTTGTTCCAGCCTTTACAGTAATGCTAAAGGGTCACTATTACATTTTTTTGAGAAACTTAAAAATATATCATAATAATATCCATTGTTTTGAATATACAAGGAAACTGTTTCTCCCCTTCTTCTTGTAGTGGAGACAATGCTTTATAGAAATTAGGCTTGTCCTTGGAAATCCCTATGATCATGGCCACGGTTCCAGCCTGGGAGAGATTCTCAAGGTTATGCAGACAATGACAGTGTGACATCACCCTTGTGGAAAACCGTTTAAGTCTTTTTCTCCCCAAGACCATATTGAAAGTAATCATTTGGAGGAAGTAAGAATCTCTTAGTTACAATAAACTTTTATGGATATACTGGATTTACTAATTCTGAAAGTCCTTCATTATGAAGAGGTTGTGTTATTGAAACTTATTTGGCAAAAGTTTGCACTGCAGATATACTACTTCAACGTCATGGCAGATTCAGAGTTGAGGTGGGACGTGGGCACTAGTCTTTCCATTAAAGTCATACATTTATACAATAAAAACAAATGAGGATTTAGAGTCAGAGCGAATACAGGTGAAGGCTTCTCTTGTTCTAGTCCTGGTTTGACAAACTAGGAGAAGGCAGGAATGTACCCTAAACTAAAATACAAAAATCAAACTCCACAAGTTTTTAAGGGATACATATATAGCAAACTACAAAGCATTTGGCTTTAGTTCCTGATCAATGTGATCAGCTAATCCAAAAACTCACAGTTCAAGCAGATGAAATAAAGGCAGCTAGGTGCAAGTCCCAAGCCCCAAGCCCCAAGCCGCCGACTGTGTGAGATGTTACCGGCACTGTAAGGACAAAGAAGGGAAAGGCTCTCATTTGGTTTGAAAGACCTGCAAATAAACAGATTCTGTGCAAAGAGCACATTTTTCTGGGGTAAGGGATATAAAATGGTGGGAATAGACACCCAAACTTGATAAAAAAGATGGTTCTAATAAAAATATCTTTCACTTTCTTTAGTGTGCTCTGGATAAGAAAACAATATTGTGTAAATCAGTGAAAGAAAAACTGATCAGAGGACTACAAAACCGTCTACAGGTCAAATCACTAGGGTGACTTTTCAAGCCAGGATTTTTGATCCAGGCCATTTTTCATCTGAATGGACAGCGAGCTATGGCAGCCTTACTCTAACATACCTGGGGTTAATGTCTAAGGCTTAAGTTTCAGATTTATGTTTTTGGGCCAGGGGAATTTTTCAGAAATGCTACTTTTTCCTAAAATGAAGAGATGATCATTTTGATGGAAAAGATGGACTACTGCCATTTACTACTTGCAATCATTTTATGGTTTTAAAATGAAGGGGATAAGCAGGTAGAGAGAGGGAAGAAATTACGATAGAAAAAAAGAAAAGAATTTGAGAAGGAAGACACAAACCAGCTACATAAATCCTACAAACCTGCCTATGGGCAACCAAGGCAGAGGCGGACTTGCTGTGGCTCCAGGCTGACCTGGGAAGTGCACGTTAATGGCTTTGGCTTTTTTTTTGGTAGTCACAGATGTTTATTAAACTCTCACTCGCCTTTATACTAAAAAGCAAATGGAAAAATTTTAAATTCAGAAAACATTTAATTTGTAAAAAATGTGAAAAGTCTAGCTTATCCAGTGAACAGTCACTGAAATTTTAATGGAATACTGAAGAGTGCCATGCCCAACAGAGTGTTAATCTCTTTCCTCTCAAGGACTAAACTGAGAACCCAGAACAGAGATTCATTCCCACAACTGTGGCCCCCCTGCCCCCACAGAACCCCAACCAGTTATATGCCTGGGGAGCTCACAGCTTTTGCAGGTCACTTTTTGCAGCCAGGAGCTGCAGTTTTATCGAGATTGAACACAGCCTGTGCTTGGGGATGGCAGAGGACAGAACACAGTACTGCATAAAGCTGAATCCACAGAGGATCGGGCTTCCTTTAAATGATGTGTGAAACATTTTAGTTTGGGGTTTCTAAAGAACTCTCAACAACCCATTTTCTTATTTATTGGATTTATACTTTTAATTGATGTTAGATGCAGCATGACTTTCACTTCAGAAAGAATCGGCATACATGTTATTTAACATAAAAATTTCATTCTTTGGAAATTAGGGCTGCTACTCACCCCCTCATAGCCTCCTTTTCCCACAGGACTGGTAAGCAAACCTGAGGAAGCTGCACTTGGCCTTCCACGTCGGACCGGCAGGTGGCACTGTTTTCCTTCCTAACACCCCCACTGCCAAGGGCCTCCTCCACTCAGATTCCCCAAATGGCACTGGTGTGACAGACCAAGGTCCACCTCTGTAAAGACCAAGCATATCGTCCTGCAAGGATGCCTTCTGCTTGGTCAGACCAGGGGTAGTTTTAGGGCCTCTAACATTAAACATCAGTTAATGAGAGCTCCCAAATACAAACAAAACCACAAAACTTCAGACAATAAGTTAGTTTTCAAGACATGAAACTAGCCTTGGTATTGGCAGACATTTTGAATTTGTCCATTAGTCCAAGCTATGGCTTGGAAATACTTTTACCAACTGCTATCTTAAAAAAAACATGTTAAAGAAAAATCTATAGTAATATATACAGGGAGGACTCTTGAGCTTGAATTTGTTAGAGTAACTGTGGTCCCAAGGCAGGTCTGGTGTGCAAACTGAAGACCGGTGTCCAGGCACATCCGTAGCGGAGAAGAGATGCATCTGCGAGGATGAAAGGGGACGACGCAGGGCTTGGGGCCATAGTGCTGCTCGGAGCACAGGGCACAGAACCCCTCCCTGGGCAGCGGCAGCAAGGAGCTGTCTGCCCCTTGAGCAGGGCCGTGAGGTGGATCTGCCCACTCTTTCCTCACCGACTTACAGCAGGCCTCCAATGGTCAAAATGCTAGACTGCTGAAACCTGTTCATTTTCTGAAAATAATAAAAACACAAGTGTTAGATAAACCTATTAGTGAAGATCAACTAACAATCTAGTTATGTTTAGGAAATGATGCAATTTCAACAAAGAAATCCTCTTAAATATCCCATCAAGATCCAGACTTTATTGTAATGACATTTCAGATCACACTGATGGCTGACAAACTGAAATTTCATAATGGCCTTTTAATCACTTTATTACTCTCTTGTTATTTAAAAGGATAAAATCTTGTTTATTTTTAATAAAATGAACCATTTTTCAAACTTTTACCACACCTGCAAAGTCAGTCAAGGGTTTTTTACTAGTAAGAGGAGCTGTATTAATAAGCACGACAGATAATTTGGCATGATGATACTCGCAGCTTCAAGTTCCCATGCAGGAAAGTGAAATGCAATCCAGTCAAGGGCCTCCTCTCAGAAGTATCCTACTAGACTGAGCGACTCCAGCTCCATTTGTGCCCAAAGAACAGTACTGGGCACATGCAAACAAGCAGCCTGCATCCTCCATTTAAAAAACACCATCATACTTAGGAATTTCTTTTTATTTTATTTTTTAAACAAGTATTTCTAAGGCATTTAAAGTAATAAACATTATTGATTATGTAAAATACCAGAGTAAAGAGACCAATTAATGTGTTCAGCAGTTCATTTAAGAGCCATTGAGGTGGTTTGTCCACATACCATCTGCTTCGCTATCTGCATCGATCACATCTGCTAGTTTAGGATGGGATGGCTGCAAATTATGCCTCTGGGGCTGAGTGACAATCTTCGATGGAACACAGGCCACAGGGCTGCTACTGAGAGAAGCTGGTGGCAGTCTACAGAGGCTTTCGTGCGCCATCTTTGACCTCTGCACAGCCACACTATAGTCTGGAGGTTTCAGGCGCACGTGGGGTCCTTCCTTTAGGTCCGCTAAAGAAATCCCCATGTATCCTGGAGGAGTGGGAGGTGGCTCCCTATACCTATCCTCCTTCTTGGGTGAGGTGACACAGTACACTGGCATGAAAAAATAAGCAATGGAAATGTTAATGGAAAATGTAAGTAATGGAAAAAAACCACACTGAAACTTACTACAATGATAAAATAGAACTTAAAATGAACATATTTGAAAACAATGACAGCGGATTAAAAACATTTCTGAAAAGCTTAATAAATATTTAAGACTGTTTTTAAAATCCATAAATTACATTAGATTTTCATACACATTAAACTGAACGAGAGAATCGGAGGGTAGGCACTGGCAACGAGCCTCCTGCAGTTCAGACCTCACAGAACAGAAACGTATACAGACTCCTCAAGGGTCACCAGTCCCAAAGATGACTGAGTCAGAAGCAGCTGGACGTAAGTAACCCTAAACATCTACCTCCGTTGACTTGCAGGACTCTCACAGAAATGACGTTCGGGCCCTCTATTTAAGGGCTGCTTTACTCTCTCCTCTTCTGAGACATGACCCACTACTGTTCATGATGCTCCTGGGTACACTAAGTCGCCGTCCTATCCTAGCACATTAACAACTTCAACTTTCCTACAGAAAGATTAAATCCTTTAAGGACCTGACTTCTATTCTGCTCTGTGATCTCGTTTAGAGGGAAGAACTGTAATATTAGGAAATCTAAGTTTCTCTGATTTCCAGTGGACATTAAAAATAATGGGGACTTAAAGTCCTTTTTCCCTAAGGTTATAAACCCTAGGACTAAGGCAAAGCTTCAAAAAGCATCAGAAATAGGTTAGATAACGAGGAAGTTCCATAAAATTAAAACCACTCCTCAGTACCCGCAGGACAAATGTCTTGATGCATCTTGATCATGTAAGTGACTGTTAAGCATAAGCACTCACCTATATACAAGCAGGACAAATTAAAAAGGACCATTAAATAACTCTAGTGTTATAATTCTCAGAGGATCAAACTTGTCTATAACGAAATTCCTACAAATCTGCCAGTAAATTTGCACGAAGTATCAAGGTCCAAAAGGCTTTCCCACTCCCATCTGAGGAGGATGGGGCAGGGAGCGGGTGGAGAGGTTGTCAAAAAAATAAAGAATGTAAGTGACTTGCCCAGAGGTATCTAGAAAGAAAATAAAAGATTTTTAAAATCTGTTTTCCCAAATGCACAAGATTTTATATCCTTTTACATACATGCTTATATATCCATATAGTGGTTACCTGGAAATCCTTAGAAAAAAATCAATGAGCTAAAAACCCCATCTATAATGCAATTCAAGTAAATAAATGTAGTATAAATGTGCAATATGTGCTATAAAAATCAGTACATCTTTCTCATTTTTAGTAATTTAAATCGACATCACAGATGTATTATAAAATTAAGAATTGACTCAAAGTAGTCATTCAATGTAGGAAGAAAAGCAGGAGCTATTCTATCCAAGTATTTATATAATTCAAGGAAGAAATGAAAAAAAAATGTATTTGGTGGTTAAATACTAAAATAATACACCTAAAAAGCTGTGTGTGGTTATAATGGAATCCACAAACAGGAGTTGGCACACCCACAATGTGTGCTAGGAGGGTATAATGAAAAATGATTTGGACTTCATCACATTTTTTTCTTTTACTACCTAAAAATAATTTCAAAGTTTCTACCATGTATGGACAGCAATTGTGATCCAAACCGTTTATGTGATGACAAAGACAATCATCCCATTATCACTAATGTGCAGTAAATGCAGTATTTCAATGAAACCAAAAAGATCTCAAAGACAAAAGACACACAAACCTGTCTCCTTCACTGAACCTCTTCTACCAGACTTTTCGTTTTAAGAGACTTGACTACCTGCTCCAAAGCCCTTGAGAAGATAATCTGTTTGTGGCAGGAGGAAGGAGGCTGGAGGAAGAGAAGGACTATTTGCCTGAATAACACTCTGGGCCAACACGTTCCAATGGCATTTCCTTACCACTTCTTCTCTGAGTGCCACATATTGGACAAGGGACACATGACTTACCAATCAAACCCTTTTCTGTACTTGAAGTAACAGTTTTATAAACTGGGTCAGTGCCGTCCCTGGGGTCCAAGCCTTGAGGTGACTCAGCTGGGGTGCTCTCCAACACCCTCCGTTTAACTGTTCCATAGTTTGGTTCGCACATGTCAGACAGAGAACTGGAGGAGGTCCAACTCTGCCTCATCTGACTGTTCTCTAGGCTTCCTTTACAATGACCACAAGTTCTGGCACGGCCTTTAGGACACGAACAGGGCTCACAGTCAGTAGGTTCAACTTCAGCAATGGGACCGTCCCAATGGGTGTGACGATAGTTTAGAAACTCCCAGCCTTTTGGGTTTGGAAGGCTTTGGAAGTTATCATGCGAGCTGCTAGAACAGGAAGTCCAACTTCCACGACCACTGTCAGCTGCTTCTATAATGATATGCTCATGAGATATCTCTTCACTGCTCATGGAAGAAGAGATAGCTAAATTCTTGACCAGAGATGGCTTTGAGAGTGTCCACCTAAAATTGGAGATGCACAATTAAAAGTAATTTAGTGGCTTACCAGAGAAACTCTCACCTGTTCATTACAAGTTAACTGCCTATAAGAGACTACACACGAATCCCAAATGTTCATGCAAAATAACCTGGTAAAAAAAAATGACAGTGAATCAGTCATCATTAAACTTCCATTGGCATTGATGTTAATTCTCTAGAAACATACTGAAGAAACTCAAATACTTATTAGCAAGGTTATCTCAGTATTTTTCTTGAGTTGACTTTAAAAGGAAATGAAATGAGGTTTGCAATGAATAAAATGAAGTATGTATTTTCATTCTTTGTCAAGATAATGCTAGGAATTCCTAATTCTGTATGCATGGAGAGAATCTAACAGGAATTTTATTTTTCAATGTACCTCGGAGGCTGGCCTGGTACACTGTGTCAAGTAAACAGTAACCTCCCCGACTACCTAAATGAATTCTATCATGTAGCAACAGGGGTCCCCAACCTAAGGCTCACAGGCGAAATCCAGCCAACAGCTTGTTTCTGTATTGTCTAGAACAAAGCAAGTTTTTTTTTGTATTTTCAAGGGTTTAAATGAAACACAACAAAATACTTCAGAAAATTTGAGACAGAGACCATATGCAGGTGCAAGCATATCTGCAGAGCCTAAAATACTTACTATCAGGCTCTTTCCCAGTCACCTGCCAAAAAAAAAAAGTGAACCCTTGATTTATAGTATAGAGCAGGGGTCAGTACACTAGGCCCAAGACCAAATCCAGCCCTCTGCCTGTTTTTGTGAATAGTTTTATTGGGACACAGTGTTCCCATTCATTATGTATTGTCTAAGGCTGTTTTCACACAACAGCAGGTTGAGCAGTTGCAACAGAGACCTTATAGCCTGCAAAGTCTAAAATATTTTGCCATCTTTTACAGAAAAATTTGCTGACCCCTGATCTGCAGGATCACAGTTTAGTAACATTCACAAATGTGATTTTACTCTATCCTTAAATTTTTACCTAACGTACACAGGTTTGACATAAAGTATACCAGACTTAATATTTATCAGTTTGGAATCCACTTTCTCAAAGATTTCCATTCTGCCTGATTCTAAGTAGAAATTTAGAATGAATGATTTTTAAAATTTGACTTTTGCTAGCTGCTAATTCTTATTCCACAAATTATACTTTCAGAAAACAAGGAGCAAGGACTGGTCCTGTTCTCTAGACCTGTCTACGTGGGAACAGCACTGGGGGGGATGGGGGGGGCATACTTTGCATCACAGTCTTTTTGAGCAATGTCTAACTTAGCTGCCAGAAGGCAAGAACAACCTCCCCCAAAGCAATTGCAGCTTCATTTTGAGTTCTTACTGATCTAAAAGATACATAACACAAAGTTATACGAACTCAGGAACACCTTACAAATGAGCATCATGCCCTCTTCTCTGCAGTTTGGTATGGAGAACCCATGCTTGGCCCTCACACTCCTTATGGATCCCCGTGCCTTGCCCCAAGGTGCGGGGCATGTGCCTAAGGGCTAGCTGGACAGCTCTGCCTTCAGTGGCCACGTGGCTCGGGTTTTGTGACGCGAACACAGGCGAGCATGTTTACCCAGGGCCAAGCTGACTGTGGTCTCCCACTCCGGAGGACGGCTCTGTCTTTTCCGAGGCCCCAGAGGATTCAGGGACTGCTACAGCCTGGGAGGAACACCGTTCATCCTGTAGAGCTGCAGACATGGAGTCAACAGAACAGTTGCTCACGATGCTGGACCGTGATGAAATCTCGCTATGGCTGGAGTCAGACAAGTTGTCAGATTTAGCTGATGGCATAAGTGTATGACCTGAATGAAAGATGACAAGGGAAAACATAGTAAGATAAAATGAGAAGCAATCCCAGTTCCCATCCAAGGAGATGTAATGCTGTCAGTTCTCTATATCCATTCCCCCATCTACTCATACATCCTAATCCAAGCCCAAATTCAGTAAGAAAGGTAAAACCCAGTATTACTGACAAAACTAATCCAAAGGTGCTTCTGCCCCAGGCTCTCACATAGCTACAGCATTTATAAAGAAGGTGGCCATTCTATTACAAAACATTAAAAAGTAGACTTCTTGAGTTTCTCTTATTAACCCTATTTCTCCTCCTTTGATTAACATAAATATTTTAAGGCCTGACCTGAATGTCCAAAATGCTATTTTGAGTCAGGGGCTGGGGAGGAGAATTAAAACTCAAGGGGAGGGAATTACATTTCTGCTTTTCAACCTACATATATTTACCCCAGATACTCTGCTTATGTTACCTAAGAAGTCTTGCTCCAAGTTGAAAGCCACTGTTTAGTATTTTTAAATACATTGTTTTAGATTTGGATTTAAACTTATACCTAGTTTCTTTTTCTTCACCAACTTTGTACAGTATTATATTAAACACTGGAACTGGCAGATTTATAAGAATGTGTTATAAAGAAACAATATCTACCTGGTTTAAATTGGTCTATGACTTACAGCACAGCAGATATAGCTAGAGAGGTTTTCTTTCACGTTCTTTGGAATGAAGGGGTGGAGATGGAGTAGGGTGGAAGGATCTAAAAACAATCTGAGCATGACAGTTAATTGTACATAGTCATCTGTTTTGGTAACCCTTAAAGGAAAATGCTGTAGCAATCCCAACCAGGAGCAGGTCTCCAAGAAGCAAAAGTCTTCTTGTTACCAAAAGAATGAGTTTCAATAGGTACATTACTCCTGGTTCAGTCCCTAGAAATCTCATTAAGAACTACAGGCTTTATACTCTCATATTACCTATAAATCACTAAAGAAAAAACTTCTTGAACAATAACCTTAAGCAGTTTCATAAATTATTACAAAGAGAAATATTAAGAGCCAGAAAATGTGTGATTTATGTATGTTTGGCTTATGGGAACAGGCACAGGACAAGCCAGTCTCGAGACTCCTGTCCCAATTCTCTGGTCTTGTGATCACTGCTATTTCTCAGTGCCCTTCATGGACTGATCTTAAATGTTTTAAAAATAATTTCATCCCTATGCCTGTAAGATCATTACTTCTCAAATATGATCAAATCTGAGAACCACCTGGAAAGCTTATTGAAATACATATTTTGGGGCCCATTTCTGGCAATTCAAATTTACGATGTTTGTGGTGGGACACAGTAATTTTGTTCTTTAACACGACTTCCAGATTATTTTGAACCTGCTATGTTAGACTGTCTCCTCCTCCTCTGATCAGAGATCTGACACATGGAAGACATAAAAAGTGTATGTTGACATGATACAGTTTCTTGGCTTCCAAACACCACTTCTTTCTTTAGCTTGTAAAATAGCTGCAGTAATAAGAGAGCAATAAAATTCTCTGAAGCAAAGGTTGTGGTCAGGTCATTATTAGGGATTTTAATGTGGGAGTAAATACCGGTTTCTTAAAAGCCTCCTCAACTTACTACATTCACAGACTTAGCCACTACCAATAAAGCCAACTACAGAAAACAAGAGCATAAAGTTTACTAACACTAGTAAAATAATGTACAAATAAGCACTTATTTAAACCAATATGACTCTGTTGCTAGAGGACCTCTAAACACTAATCATAAAATGCTTATAAATAATATCTAAGTTGACTGCCTAACTTTGACAAATGACTTAAGCTACATTTACATTAATAAAAACAAATTTAACACTAAAATTAAGTGAGGAACTTCATCAGAGTGTCTTTCTCCTTTTAAACTTGAATCGCGTGTGGAAGAAGTTTACAGTGTTACTGTTGCCTCGGCTATTTGAATTGAAGATGTCACACCCTTTCTCATCTTTGATGTTGCTTCCAACATCCTTCACTTTCTCACAGCTTTCTGTAGCTTGATTGTGATCTGCGTCCTCTTTTTTGTTGTTTTCTAGTCTCTCCCTTGAAAGAGTTCTCTCCCTAAATCTTCTAAACGGGGATGTCATTCTTTTTCTGGCTGTGTTCTCACAACTCGTCCTGCCTCTATTCTCCTCAGTGGCCTTCTCGGTCCTGTCTGTTCTTTTGGCTGTGCTCCTGGTAATCTGTAGGATTTTCTTTTGCAAGTAAACCCCGCCTATTCCGGGGCAGCTCTGGCCACTGATCTTGGTGCTGGACTCACGGGGAGGGGATGAGCAAGACCCTGAGAGGCGCAGCAGGATGCTGTGATCAGGTATGATACTGCCAACTGGAGGGAGAGATGCAAAAACCCTGTCACGGTCAATTCTTTCCAGTTAATCACAATTAGTTGGTTTATATAACATTTTACTATGTTAAAATTCCAAATCTTGACAATATCTGAAAAACTGAAATCTAGCAATGTATTTTCTAACACATGGAGAAGTCCACTATATAGCATAAACACAGCAGTCATTGTGTAACAGAAGACTAAGATCACCTTGATCAGAGTTAAGTCTACAAAAAGCTGTTGAAAATAAGCCCAGCTGGTAATATTATCAGGAAAATATGGTGGGAGTATCAGACAATCAGAATTATTTCTCCAAATATTTTTTTGATTTTCAGGCAGATTCTACTAAGAAGAAGCTTAGTAAAAACCGATGGGCCACATAAACAGTACATATGACAGGTGCATTCATGAAGCACTGGCTCTGATCCTGCTGCATCTCCGAGGCAGAGAGGTGGCCTCCCTAAGCACTGGGAAGATAAAAGGTAATGTCTCTTGACTTCACATGTTTGAAAAGTTCTTACTTGAGATTCTCCCTGTGAAAAACATGATTACTTTTGTAATTGCTAGAAAATAGAGAATTCCAAAATTTAGCACGAACTGGGAACAGATCTTAATGTACTCTTAATGACATTTTTGTTCAGTCACACGTGACTGGCAGAAACGTGTCCACAAAAATAAACAAAAATACAATACTCAGCTGGGGTTTGACAGAACACAGGTAAGAACAATTGGGAATAGTTTTGAAGATTTCTAAGGATTCAAAGCATGACTGACAGGTTCACAATCTATAAAGATTGTGGTTGGTTACTGGCCACACACTGAAAGACCCAATAGAGAAAAGACTTCTCTGTTGCAGTGGTGAAGTGGATTTTCTATTGGGAGTAAGAGCAAGGGGGTAATTCCTGTTCCTAATACCTCTTCCCATAAGTCACATTCAGGCATAAAACACCAAACCCAATTCACCTAGTTTCCCATTAGAGAACAGTCTCTAATGGGACATTGGAAAAGCCTCCAGAACAGGCAGAGGGTGTGAAAGAGCATTATAGGCCTGTGGGTGCTGTTCATCAGGCCCATCTGTGTGACTGGGCACTGCTCCCAGTCCTACGCCTCGACAACTGTAAAGAGCACTTTGGAGCAGACCACACAGACAGTAAAGAGATGAAAGAGACCTCAGTGCCTCACAAAATCATGTATGAGCTATGTACCACAGTATCAGCAACCTAGGTTTTATAAAAACAAAAAAAATCACAAGTATATATACTGTTTAAATGTCCAATTTGATTTGTACTAGGCTTCTCTTAATTACAATGGAATGAAAATCCTAGCCAGGCTCAGCTCTTTGACAGGGGAACAGCAGGTCAGTAATGGAGCTATGTTGCCTGGGGTGGCAGCAGGGAAAGAGAAGAGAAACTTTAATTTACTCCACACTTACCATGTATCAGGTTTATAAATATTATTCCATTTAATCCTTAAATGAGTCCCCTAAAGTAGATGGTCTTTTTCCCATCTTGTGGACAAGAAACCTAACCGTATAAATCAGTTGCTCATAGTAACACAGCTATAGGGGAGAGTGAGGATTCAAACTCAGGCTGGATGCCACTGTACCACATCATCAACACACTGGTGGCAAAAATAAGAAAGGGGTCTCACACATGAGATGAAACTTAGAACATAGGTTCTCAGGAAAGCTCTGGAAGCTTCTACTTCCTGCTAGAATTCATAAGCTTCCCTCTGACCATGTACTGTCCTTCAGTGTGTTTATTTAAAGAGGTTAATTTGTTTACATCTGTGAAGATGATGCCAGGACCTAGGAGCCTTTTTTGTCAGGATACACAGAGGGTGGGGGGCCAAGGTAAGAAACACACACCCTGCTGCACGCACAGCTGACACGAGACAGCGTCTGGCAGCACCCAGCCCAGGATAGTCGGGCAGAGCGCAAGTCAGTGAACAGTGACTTCACATGCTTTATCTCGAGGATTTCTCTATAAGGATAAATGCAGAAATCCGTAAGGGTATACATTATTCCAAACCCTGATTACTCAAAAGGTAATAATACTCCATTAATAAAGAAAGGAATGTGTTCATCTAAATACTTGTTTCTTTACCTAAATCTTACAGTTGGTTAAAAACAATTTCTTGTAGAAATTCTTTTTTGGCAAATACTCCATAGAAATGTTTAAATAATTGAAAATTTGAATTAAAAGAATCTGCAGAGAACAACATAACTTCTGCCTTCACTCTTATCTGAGTTTGTCCTCTGTTAAGAAGGATCACACTTTGAATACAGGAGTCCTGCAGAATAGCTGGAAAGCATCTGAATAATTAAATCCAAAACATGAAAGTTCAAAAAGTATTAGAGTTACACCTTTCTTCAGTTTATTACTATAGATTGAAAAGGAAAATACATGTAACAAAGTGGTGTTTAGTGTGACAAGAATCAGCTTGAACTGTCCCGCCTTACCTTTGCGAGGGGAGCCTTGAGGAGATGCGGGAGGACTAGAATGCACGGACGCTGCCACAGAGAGAGTATCTTCTGTGTGTTTCTTGACACTCATTTCTTCGGCTGTCCCTAGAACTTTTTGAGATATACTTGTACCTAAAAATAAAGACAAAGAAGCAAATAAGCACCACTTCACAATCAAAAGGTCTCCT